GTCGCCCGCATCATCAGCCACCGAAGGAAGATACGTCGTTCCCGTGTCTGATTTCATGGGCTCCTCGAACGACGGAAATGGTGGCCGTTCATTCCAACGCTGCTCGTCGGACGTGAGAGCACTCAATGACCATAAAAGTCCGGTGATCGAAGCAGTACAGTCGTGCATGACGCGGGAAGGCTGCTGTGAGGGTTGGCAGAACACTTGAGATTGGGAGAATTCAGGGCGATACTAGGTGCGTCGAAGCTTTCGACAAAATATCTGAAACAATAACAACAAAAAAATAATGTGCCACAGTTGGTGAGTCACAACATAAAACGGATTGTTACATCTCTTTTTCTTTTACATTCGCTCTTTTAAACCACAGTACTGTATTGCTGCTTATTTTTACATACTTTACTAACTTCTCATCTCATCTTATTACATTGTAAAGCCATTTTTCTTAGTGGGTATTTTATTTGTTTATTTTATTTATTCAAAGAGCCCACTAGGGGCATCACATTGGGAGGGGGGTACATAAATACGATACAATTTTCGCAGATAATGAATAATTGTTGCTTAATACATTTCTACAGTGCAGAAATACATACGCATCAAAGCAAGCAATACAAAAAGTGATACAACATCGTGTAAAGCATAATTGTTAATGAAAATTACTTGGTTCTAAATACGTGAGCGATTCTGAATTAAAGAAATGTGCGTAAACGAAAGGAAGTTATCAAACGGTAATTTTTTTCATATATAAATAAGGAAATGATAAGATTGGAGACTTCGGTCTCTGGAAGGCTCCGCGTTAGCGCATTGTCACAGGATTGTCTGTTGCTCTGGCGAGGAAATTTTAATCCATTTAGAGGATTTTGTTGCTAAACTGTCATTTAATTAATCTTTAATACGAGAACGTGTCGCAATAGCGACACAATCCACGTGTACAGCTTCTTCCGTTGACTTATTCGATTGATGGAGGACGTCATTTTTCATAATTTAACAACCAACCAACCAACCATAAAAATGACTCCCACAGGCCTACTGTGGGGCCCTGGTTTATAGATAAGTCTATAAAATAATTTTGTTCGCACTTCTTGTTCCGATCGGCAGCACACGTTTAACAATACTATATCGCATATATGATTCTGAATCGTTATGCAAGCGTACGCACACCTAATTGAAAAGTGGGGTGGACCCTCGCCGTTCTCGCTTCATTCTGTGCACGGAATTAGCAAGTTCTACGCAGCGAAATATACTATAGTAAAGTTGTTCCGTATTCATTAACGCACGTCTCAGCACGATTAGAAGACTAAAGATAGAGAGTTCACCAGGGTAAACACATTTATTGCGAAGTTCGTCGCAGTCTGGGGTAAAAATATTCAAGGAAACGCCCTTTAGCTTGTGCACGGAACGAGCAAAACGCAATGTTTATATTTAGTTACTAGCTAAGAAAGGAAACAGCCACAGACAGAAAAATTGCTACACTGAGCTGCTTGACAAGCCTTCTTTAGAGGACAGTACCGTAGAGGATGAACGAATAAGCTGTTTTGATTTGAGCACGTGAACTTCATGTATGTATATACATGTAAGCCTACCACACATCAAATAAGCGTATGCAGTAAACAGTCACATGATCCGTAATTGATTGATTGATCGATTTTTTTAACCTAGCGCTTGACGACTCGAAATTGAAAACCATCTTCATGTTCTTCGGAGTCATTCCTTTTCTTCTCACCCCACACCACCGGAAAGCTTTCTTCATCCAGAGTGGTCTTGTACTGCCCACGACCTACTGTATTTTACTGACCTGCCGAGCGAGCGAAGCGCCAGCACGCCCTTCTGGTACTGGCACCTGCCGCTATGCGCTTTGTGGCGCTACAACTTACCCCATCCGTACCGGTTGCTGACGGCCAAAACATAAGCCGCCGCGCTTTTTTTTTTTTTTTTTTGTCGTCTGCTCGCGTGACACTGGGAGAAAGCAGCAATGTTTACGCGTGCATACACTCTAGACTATTGAAAAAAAATGAATAGAAGCCTCTTTTTGAATAAACTTAAAAGTATAATGACGATCTTTTGCTACCGTCTCCTCGTGCCGAGCTGCGATAGAAGCGTGCAGGTAGGCGCAGTTTGTACACCAGCGAAGCGAGGTTTCTTGGTGCAAATTAACCATCACGATGGTGGTGTGCTGCGTGCCTTTCTGCGAATCAAGACAAGGGAAGACTCCTGATGTCACATTTCATGAGTTTCCAGTGACCGAGGTTGGTGAAAAATGGATCAAGGTGATTTCTAAAAAAAAGGTAAGTCTGCTCAATTCGGCGTTGTCTGGCATGCTGAAAATGTAATGGGTTGTAAATGACTACATGTCTTTAATGAGTGAGTTGCTGGGCTGGTTCGTGGTGCATGACAGACTGATACGCATATTAGCGCAAAAATAATAAATAAACCAACAACCTCAAGAAAGTAAATGACGATGTGCTATACTCACAACTGTTTATTAGCAAAAAGAAAGAAAAAGATGACGATCATTTTCTCCTAATGAAAATTTGTGAGTAGCGTGTGTCCTTGTCTTCTTTTTTGTGGTCATCCGTTTTGTTTAGTGTTAATGTATCTCAGCCAATTACGTGTGTCACATGGTTAACTAGGTGAAGTCATACGCTCATTTCATAACAGTGTTTTATTCACTTCACCACCATGGTATAAACTTCTAATTGCATGGTATACTCCTTAGAAAAGAACAAGAAATTTTGTATTTTATTCGCAATATTTCACTGAATGTTCTTCTTCTTCCTTTGCTGGCAATGAAGTTCGGCTCCCAAATGACAGGTCGAAGGTGTGCAGTGTGCACTTTGCTTCAACCGACAATAAGCCGGGGCTAAAGATAAAAAGACTGAAAGCGAATGCTGTGCCGTCAGTGGTTCGTTTCCCCACAACCCAAAGTACATGGTGCCGCCCGTGGCAAAAGTCCGCCGCACCTTGAAACGTTCAAATGTTCAGTAACATGGCCCCTGCCCAAAGAAAAAAAAGTGACTAACAATGTTTAATGCTTGACGTCTCCCCACGGCTCTTGCATATAATTTGGACCAATGAAAACGAATTTCAAAATTTCAAGGAAAAGCGTATAACCGAACGCAATTTTTTAATGCAGGAAGAAAGCAGGTTCAGCCCCGGCGCAGCAGAGCTTGACATCGAGCGACATGTCATCAGTACCATCCACAAACACGACTGCGGGACCATCCTCAGACTTTATGCACGCTCTCACCGAATTTGAACGCACAGAACCACCTGAAACTGCACCCTTGGTGACAAAGTAAAAAAAAAAAAAAACCGACGCTCCTTGACCACGCAAACAACTATAACCAGCCAGAAGATGCGCCGTGTGATGACTTCTGCAAAATCATTGCGCCGGAAATGCCAAACCATAGCAAGGAATAATGCTGAATTAAAAGCGCAAATAGCCAAGCTGAACCGTGAAGTTGCAGAGGTTAATCTTCTCTCCAAAAGAGGTAACGCTGCAGTCTTGCAGGTAAAGTTGTTTGCTGTTCTTGTTTGCTGTTGGTGCTGTTTCGTTTCAAAACAGTTGCAGAGTGGTTTTTATTGATTAGTCATGTACCTGCGATCTACATTTGCCATTTGAGACGAAGGTATTTATTCGCAAAATTGTCTGTATGGGGTTGTTTTCTATGCGCGCTGGATGCCGCGGCCACTGTCAAATGTCATAGTCCTTGCCCTTTCTTGTCCAGCCAGTAAATTCAATCCAGCTGAGTGTGCGACAAGTCTACCATTGTATACACGTATAGACGGTATCATGAGTTAAATAAACATTTGGTGGGCCAGCACTTTTTACAACCTGTCTCTGTCATCATTCTTGTTTTGCACGCTGATACATGTGTTTGTATCTGATTTGCGGTTCTATTTGAAAAATAATGCACTGAAATATCAACTAAAATGCAAAAGAAGATTCCCAAAGCCACATGAAATAAAATGATTCAAGATACCCGCCATATTTACTCAATGCGTGATGAAACTGTTCTCGAAACGGCGGTAACCCATGCATTTCCATGCATCCACCAGCGCTCAGCTGGGGTAACTCGAGCGCTCCCTAGGCGGTGAAGTTCGGCATCCGAGCCGGCGCAGGCAGCTCCGTAGACCGCCGCCAGCTGGGCAGGTCAGGAGTACAGTAGGTCGTGGTACTGCCTCTCAAGAGATCCGAAGCACGGGAAAGCATTTCGGCATCTCACGTGGTTTTGCAGTGCCTTCGAGGTCGGCCCGCCTTTGAGCAAGCCGCCATGTGTCACGTTATGACGTTATTATGTGACGTCACAAATTTTGCCGTCATGTGACGTAACGATGATTCTATATGATGACGTCATCATACAATGATATTTTGCGTCACTTAAGCTGATGCCGGCGGTCATGTTTCGCGTTTGTTGAGATATCGAACGTTGTATCATTCTTCTCGTTAAAAATCATGCATTGAACGGTTGTGTGTAACGTAATAATGGGGACCACCAAGTAAGAGGACACAATAGAGCGCGAGATTTAACGTAATATGAGAGGTTACAACTGCACAAACGAGAGTGGACGAGAGCGTGCTGAAAGATGATCGCACTGCACGGAACACCCACAGGCACGATGCACAAATCGCTGCTATCATTGCTCACTAAAGTCTCAATTTCCTTGCGATAAGGGTGCACTCGCAACAATTCCCTCTTGACTCCGAGAGACGAAATCTCGCGCCGCGGACACACCAGCCAGAAGCGGCAGCTTCAGAAAAAGAACGGTATCGACGTCAACGGTGGCGAGAGCACGACGAGCGTAAAAGATGAAGCCGCGCCGGCGGTGAGTCACGGTTGAGGCTGCTCTGCATCTCCTATTATGGTGACCCCTGTCACGTGACCCAAGAGCGGCGCGCCGCCGCTGTTTGACACGCGTTTGATGCAATGGATGGCGCCACCGTCGCCGACACGTGACGGTTTCACCGCGCTCTCCCATTGGCTGGCGCGCCACCCGGAGAGATGCTTTTTCGTCAAAAGCCCTAAATAAACTTGGGCCTGTGGCCGCGGTTTGCTTCGGGAAGGTTATCCAACGGGCAAGACCGCCGAAGGAACCTCAAGCCGAGCGCCTGCACTCGACCGCTGGGCCGGAAAGGAAGGGGATAACAAACAAAAAAAGAAAGACGGTGCGCGACATTTCGAAGATAACTTGCTCCCCGGCGACGAAAAGAAGAGGCCGATCAAGTTCCGGCGAAGCTCGCCGCACGGTCTAAACGACGTCGCGCACGCTACCGACCGACTTGACACCCGAACTCCAGCGACTGTATAGTGTTTCGCGGAAATCGTCTCATCTGGTGCGTTTGTAGTAGGGCGGCCAGGTTTGTTCGTTCGTTTTCGTAGTCTACCGCCTCGCGGGAGAACCAGTGCTTTTGCCATTCAAGATGGGAGACGCAGGACCTTACTCCGACGGCTACATGGAACAGGAAGAGGAGTGGGAGCGTGAGGGACTACTCGATCCGGCATGGGAAAAACAGCAACGCAAGGTGAGTCCGCTTTGCCGTTCAATTCAAAGGCGACTAATATCCATCGGCTACCTAGATGGACCGAAAGAATCGTCTGCCATCTCGGAGTGACGCGCGCAACCGGCGGTGGGGGGCTGAATTCCTCTGTGCTATCGCGAAGAAAAGCGGTGATATCGCTGAAAAAACGTGCCGAATAGACGTGTGTTGTAAACCCCGAGAAACCAGGGTCGTTGTCACTCGTTCCACTGTACTATATCTCTTGCCGGCTGCTACCGCGCTATCGTTTTGTGTGTTTGCTCGCTTTGGTTTGGCCACTTGCTCATACCGTAGCGTGGGCGAACGAGCCAGTTCCGAGCAAAAAGCCGCCGTCAAAACACGTCAACGCCGCCCCGGCGGGGCGGGCGATTAAAAGACCCCTCGCCACGGGAGCAGCACACACGCAGCCAAATGTGTCTCGCTTGCGAGCGCACAGGAGGCCTAACGGATCGCGTTGCCTCGCCTTTTCCCAAGGTGGCCCAGGACGATCTTGTTTTTCTATTTTTTTTGCGTGGCCTCTGGGATCACGACTTCTGTTTTCTTTCGCTGTAGCAGATGCGCATGGAGAAGAAGAAAGCATTTTTTGTGTCGCATTGTCGTCTGCTCGTCTTTTTCGTCTGTTGCTTGGCAGGCGTGACCACGCGTTATTACGTTACACTATTCGCTGATTAAAAGTAGTAAGCTTGTTGTTGCTGTGTCGTCTGCTTATATGTTGCCGATTGGACAGATGCGCGGGATGAAGCACGAGGAACTTTTAGATGCATTGTCGTCTGCTGCTTTACCGGTGGGCCCACCTTTTATGTCCCAATGTCGTCTGCTCTTGTATAGCTGATTGTACAGAGGCGCTTGCAGCAGAATGCATTTTAATTGACATTATCGTCTGCTCGTCTTAAAAAAAATTCTGTGTAGCTTAACAGGTGTGCCCATCCATTATTACGCTACTGTATTATTAAAAACATAAGGTAGTGTCGTATGCTCGTGTTCCCGAGTCGTCTGCTGCGAGTATAACTTCGTATGAACGTGATCACTGGCGAACTGAAACCACCGCAGCAGCAGAGTTTCGTGACGATTTTATTTTAAAATTTGTGACAGGAAGTGACCGCGACTTCTTCGGTCTCTGGGGAGGTAAATTAGCGCGACAAGAAATTCTGTGAACACATACGAGAAAGACGAAGATCATTATGTATCCGTTTGTTGGTATATCCGCCAAAGTGAGCTAATAACGTTGGATTTCTGCTTCAGTTGGCTTAAGAACACGCGAGACGAATGTGATGTATGTTGGAGTGCCATCTCACCTATGTAATATTTGTAGCACATTCCTTTTGTAAATAAGATTTCACTCGCTTGTGTTCGCTACATTTCAGGACAAACAGGCAATACTCGTGGAGTGTCTCTCCCATCTCTCCATCCCATCAGGTTTTCGTTAAGAAAGTAGCGTAGTACTGTGGATTGTATTGTTGCAGACGAACCGTAGAGCGTCGTCTGCTACAATAAGCGTGCAGTTTAGTAACGTCGAGCTCTCGAGTCTTCGAAGTAAGCGCGTGCCGGATAGCATTGTTGCACACGTGCCATAGAGCGTGGTCTGCCCTGAAAAGCATTCGATACAGAAACATCGAGTTTTCCGCGGTTTCGAATTAAGAGCGCACCACGATCGGAGCACTTGACCGTGATCGCTGCTTGTCGCGCGACATTGCATTCTCGTTAGCTGAAACACGATAGGTGTAGGTTATGTTTTGATCGAGAATGATTGTAATAAATGACATAATGTCACGTTTGATGCCGATAACACTATATCATAGAAAGTTATGCGGCCTACTAGAGATAATTACTGTGCAAGAGAACTCTCGGTGAAGGTGGCATATTATTATTACATTAATATTACAAATACTGGCATCACTGAGAACAATACGATTTGTACATATGCAACAAGAAACTCAATGCATATAAAAATTTATATTGGAAACATAGGGCCTGTACAAAAACAGATGCATGAACATCGGAAACTGGATAAAATATAATGCTTTTACGAGATATCTTCAGTTAATTGTTAACGGAACGATGGATGTTGGCGACGTGGGTGAAATTTAATATTAGCCTATTTCATAGTAGAAACATGGTTTATTCATTACCTGACCGCACGCAAGAAAGAAAAATAGTTGCACATATTTACCATAATTAGCGGAAACCTTACAGACAGCGAACCTTCAGGTGCAGTTCACGCGGTAAATTTGTCGGCATTTTCGTTTTTCCCTTGCCACTTTATGTTCCGCTTCTTTTTCTTTCTTCCTTGTGATTTCCCAAGACGCGAGGAAAAAAAAAAGTAGTAGCGACGCATTTCGACGTGTCTTTCCCCGTCGTCCGCTGACCCAGATTTGGGTTGAAGGAATCGCGGAAAAAAAAAAAAAAAACCGAAATCTTCCTCGCCGCTCCTTCGGTCGTACTACGTGGACTGGTGATATCAGAGGCAGGAGGCCGAAGCGAACCTTGTTACTTTCTATCTTTCTTTTCTTCCTTCCTTTTTTGTGTTAGCAGTCGGGGACTCCCTGCTTGCTTTTTTTATACTTTCCTTTGCCGCTGTCGCAGTTGTACCATCGGTTACGGGGAGGGGGGGAGGGAGGTGCGTTAGGAGTTGTCCGGTTCCGATAAGTAGGCTCGCTTTTTGATTTTATTTGTTATTGTAGTGGCAATCGGTGATAGCCTCTCTTGTTGGATTGGATACTTTCCTTTGCTGCTGTCAGAGTTGTGCTATTGGCGAGGGGGGAAGGTTTGAAGGGGAGTGGGGGGGGGGGGGGGGTTCGTTCGGAGTTGTCCGGTTTCCGATGGGTAGTGGGTAGGTGTGCTGGTAGGCACGCCGATGCTCTCACCGCTTCGCACGACGTGGAAGGTGCGTGCTTTCGTGTCGCTGTCGGCCTAGACTTGTCTCTCCACCGCAGTTCAGGAAATGCTACGCGAGGATCGGAGGCGTAAGATGGAGAGGGCGCAGGGGAGAGCGTAGTAGGGGAGAGTCGACGTGTTAACCCCGTTTTTTTTTTCGAGTGATCGGCCGGTAGTTTGGAGATCGACTACGAGATGAAAAGCGCGTTTTTCTGTTTTTTTTTGTTTTATTTGTCGAGGTTGAGCGAGGTAACAAAAGAAAACTTTGACGAACATAGAAAAAAAAAAAAAACCTTGAAGACGCTTGAGCAGATCGTAACAGCGTATTGGAGCAGTGCCTTACCCGTCATGCTGGTTTAATGCTTATGCTCGTCTGCTGACCCCGAAGGTCGCAGGATCGAATCCCGGCTGCATTTAGATGGAAGCTATACGCTAGAGGTCCGTATACTGAGATTTTAAGTGCACTTCAAAGAACGCAAGACGCCCGAAATCACTAGAGCTCTGGACCGCGGCGCCCCTCGTAAACACGTCGTGGGTTTTGGGACGTTAAACCCCGACGATGATTATCCATTATGTACGGTGCACGCGAGAATCCCCCTATAATAATAAAATCCCGCTGTTTTTGTGGTCGTGTCGCGAAAATAACGAAGCACTGCGACTCCAATGTGCGACTGGGTGACACCTTCAATTGAAGTTAGCGGTACTTCTTCGCGCTTCGATATCGCTCGCTGCGATAAATGTCCCCAGTGGTGCGTAGCACGCGGCGTGCGTCGGCACTTTGACGTTGATAACTGGGCGCTGTTATCTTTGTTATCCGATTTGACCGGGAACCACCACTTATCGGGTGTTCCATCGACTGCTCTGGGAGGCGCAAGTGGGAGGTAAAGAAAAAAAAGACAAGCAAAAAAAAAAACGGACTTCGCTGTGTTACGTTCAAATGTGCGTTCGTTGCTCCAATAGGAAAAATGAACTTTCTCGGGGCCTCTGTTACGATTAATTTTTTCTGTAAATGTGTGTGTCAAATGATCACTCGGCAAGTTGTCTCTGAATCTATGCGGAGTCTGTTAATACATCTCTAAGCTATATATTAATGTGTCTGTAATGTGTCAATCAATTAATCAATAATTTGTCTTTCAATCTTCCTATGTTTCTCAGTCAATCGTGAATTCATTCATTACTCTACAATATGTCAATCAGTCAATCAATCAATAACTTGTGTTTCGTTCTATTTGTAATCGGTCAATCAATCAACAATCATCAATTTATCCGATAATCTGCCTGTTTGTGCCTGTGATCAGTCCGCCTCGGGGATGCAGTGTTTAGGATGCACAGTGTTACGTTTGGCCCGGCCTAACTTTTACAACGGCTGGCGACCTCTCCCCCCCCCCCCCCCCCCTGCGATGGTTTTGGGTTCGATCCGTGCGGCAGCAACCGCAGTTCGATGTAGACGAAATGCTATAGAGCTCCGTATACACAGTGAGATTTGAGTGTTCATTTAGAGAACACCGCATGGCCGAAAAATGTCTGGAACCACCCTTCTCTTCGGGTGTGCTTGACCGGCGGTGTCGACGAAAGGTATGGATGAAATCATAACGTAATGACGTTATCGGAACACGTAATTACAACGTCACTTGATGTGGCGTCGCATGCCGCTGTCATATCGCTTGAAATCGTCGCTTTGACTTGGCTGGTCCCGATCACAAAAACAGTGCTAATCATCGAGGCGCGGTTCGCAAAACTGCCAAAACCTTTACGTTAGCTGCAGAAAGCGTCAATACATTGATGGAGAAGGGAAATGGGCCTTTAGTATTCGAGTCGTCTTTCAATAATAATAATAATAATAATAATAATAATAATAATAATAATAATAATAATGTTTTACATTCTAAAATTGGGATGTGATTATGAGAGCCGTCGTAGTAGAGGGTTCGGGAACTTTCGACCGTATAGAACATCGAAATGTGATCACCGCGGCCGCTACTCGTATACGTGAGTAAGCTTTATTGTCTTTCGATTGATCAACCGTTCGACTGATTGACCGATGTAGTTTTCCGATCGCAGTTTATACGTGACTGCTAGCCGCGGCACCGTCTATAGTCTAAGCGGCGTGCCGACGGTC